TGCTGCTGCTTTCTGCCTCACCCTAGGGCCATACAGTGCGAAAACTGAAGCTCCAGGAAGTTCAGCAAGGGGAATCACAAAGTTCTGCACCTCGGGAGTTGCCAGGCACCAGCACATGTGGCAGGTTGCCCAGCTGAGAATCAGACAGGGAAAGGTGACCGTGCTGCTGCCCTTGAGCACAGGCTTCCTGGTCCTGTCTTGGTGCTGGCATTTCTTCTTCTCTGCTTGGAAAGCACCCATCTTAGGCAGCTGCTCGGAGATGGACTCTGGGTTTGTCTAGTTTGGACTGGAGAAGTCTGAGGGGCCACCCCATTGCTCTCTGTAGTTTCCTGAACAGGGGAAGTAGTGCAGGAGCTGCTGAGGTCTTCTCCCTCGGATCCAGCAACAGGACATGTGGGGATGGGTCAAGGCTGCATATAGGGAGGGTCAGACTTGACATTTTGAAGCCTTTGTTTACCAAGCGGTCAAACAGCGGGCTCCCTGTAGAGGTGGTTCATGCCCCATGTCTGTCAGTGCCTTAGAAAGAGACATTTGGACAATGACCTTCATAACAGGCTTTAACTTTTTGACAGTCCTGGAGTGGTCAGGCAGTTGGACTAGACGATTCTTGTAGCTTCGTTCAAACTGGAACTATTCCATTCTACTCCTTTCAATACCATCAAATCAGCATTATTTACCTTTCTCCAATTTTTTTATTCTTGACCGTCATAATCATTATCTGATGAAAGAAGCTAAAAATCTTTTTTTAAAGCAATCTCAAAATTCTTATAGAAAATGAGAAAATATAAATAATTACTTCAATCCGCATGCAATATTTATAGGCCATGTATGTTCTTTACTTTTATTGTCTCTTGTCCGGTATAGTTTTGCTTACATAAGTATTTTTGACATTTGCTTTTTCACATTTTTAACTACCAGGCTTTTAAAAAACGTACATTGCCAAGACATTTTGAGAATGGGTTACTAAATAGTTTGTGCACATATATTGGCTATTGATGTGTATAGGCTTACAGTTTAACGTGTGCTTTTAAGTCATAGATCAGACCCTGAGAGTTTATTATTTTACTTTTTTTTCTCCTCTAAACTCCCTTGCAATGGGTTTGTGTGTAGCAGGGTTTTGGTAGTGTGTCAGGGGCTACAGGGGTGGCTCCTGTGAGAAGTTTCCAGAAGCTTCCTCACTCCAAGTTGGACCCACCTCTAGCCAAGGCCAAACCAATTAGTGACAGTAGCTGTGCCTTCTGTGATAACATATTTAAGAAGGGGAGCCTGACAGAAGGAGGAGGAGTTGTGAGGGAAATACCTGTGGGAACATCAGGATCGGTTGAAGAAAGGAGGGGGCAGTGCATTGGAGCAAGGATTCTCCTGCAGCCCATAGAGGTCCACAGTGGAGCAGACACCTACCCGCAGCCTGTGGAGGACCCCACACTAGAGCGGGTGGCTGCACCCAAAGAAGGTCGGCACTCTGCGGGAAGCCTGTGCTGGAACAGTTCGTTTCTGGGAAGATTGCAGCTTGCAGCAGGGACCGACGCTGGATCAGTTTGTGAAGAGCTGCAGCCCTGTGGGAAGGACTCAGGTCAGAGAAGTTCATGAAGGACTGTCTCCTGTGTTAGGGATCCCAAGCTGGAGGAGTGTGAAGAGTCCTCCCCCTGAGGAGGAAGGAGCAGCAGAAACAACTGTTGATGAACTGACCACAACCCTCTATCGCCCACCCCCCTGCACCACTGGTGGGGAGGAGATAGAGAAATCAGGATCAGAGCTGAGCTCGGGAAGAAGGCAGGGTGGGAGGAAGGAGTTTTTAAGATGTGGTTGTACGTCTTATTGTCTTACTCTGATTGGTAAATTAGTGGTGGTGGTGGTCAAATTAAATTGATGTTACTACTTCTTCAATTGAGTCTGTCTTTTGCCCATTACCATAATGGGTGAGCCATCCCTCCCTGTCCTTGTCTTGATCCCTGAGCCTTTTGTTTAATTTTCTCCTCCCCATCCTACCATGGGGGAGGAGTAAGCAAGCAGATGTGTGGTGCTCAGTTGCCCTCTGGCCTTAAACCACGACACCCATCTTGTATTTCTAAATCACTAATGGGAAGAAGGCCCAGAGAATGGAACACTGTGTTCTGCTACAATGGCCCTCATTGCATTTTATCATAATTTCAGCTGGTTTATATGATACAATATTATGATTTGGTATTTTCTGATTGTTATACAGAACATTAATATCCTGGCTTTCAGGGCTGCCTAACACAAATCCCATGGAAATCAATGCAATATGTCCTCAGTATATGTATATACAAAACTTAAGACAATTTTTAGAGATCCAGATTGTTAGAAAGAAACATATTTAGTAACATGCCCCAGAAACGTAGACCGAATGGATGTCGACTCTGGCACATACAGAGAGCAGGGTGGGCTGATCTTTTTACATATGTGAGTTATTAACTAAGATGCCCATTCAGACATTCGCACATCCAAGAATCTAAATAGCATGGAAGAGTGTAACAATGGCCTGACATTTTAAATTGTGCATCCAGTTGTAGGGGCGACAAGGAACGGTGGAGATAAAATTCACCATGTTATCTGAATGTCAGTAGTATTAGATGGCCATTTAGCTTCCCCAGAACCTGTGGACTGATGCAGATTTTCTCAGATCGGGTATCTCTTGATGCAGTACAAGCAGAACAGATGCTTCTGTGCAGGAGATTAAAACCCACATAAAATTATGGCAGAGTTGCAGACCCTGCATTTGGTCCTCCTGAGCAGTTCTGTTTGTAATCCCATGGACCTCCAGAGGAGGAATTACCATAATTCTGGTCACGGCTGTTGGGATTGGCACACAGGTAATAGCTGGCCAAATCACAAAAAGCACAGAAGCATTCCTGCTATTTTTTGGAGTCTTAAAACCAAATGTCTTCTGATGCTTTTTCTTTCAAGCAAATAAATACTACGCCTCTACTCTGAGCTTCTGCTCATAATTCAGTGAGTCCTTTTAGACCTGTCATTGAATAAATAATAGTTGAATATCTGGCTGTGCTCTCTTTTGTACATGAGCAAGTTCCCTATAATGCCAGTGATAGAAATATATCATTTTTTCACAAGGAAGCTAGCCTTAGAGATAGGACAATCAGTAGGAGTCCATGCCATGAGTGAACTGTAAAGATTATGTCTTGGTGATGTTATTTATCTTGAGTAAGTCCCTTATTGCACACATAAAAACTCTGTTTCATTAAAGGAAAATATAATCTAAGACTGAGTTAAAAGCCTTAGGATTTGGCTTAGTATTTTCAATTTTTAATTTGGCACTGTAATGGAACAGTATGTGCTACTCATTCTTATGCAATAAATACCAAAAATTGTTTTGTTGTATACCTGTAGTTACCAAGCTCATATTGTGCAATAAACTGTAAAAGTATTTTTAAAACAATATGGGGTTAATAAAGGCCATATTAATTCGTCTTTGGGTGAAGACACCATATATTAATTATAGTCTCTGTGAGTTTTCTACTAAATTCATTGTACATTGCGTATTTTCAACAGCATATTTATGTACTAGCAAGTAGGAAAGGTTTTTAGAAGTTGGTATTTTAATAAAACTTCATAAATATTTATGGTGCAATTTTACATTTCTGTTAAGTTCTACAGAAATAAATGTTTTTAGTGTCATGAACTGCTCACATGGACATGAAAGCCGTAATGAAAACATCCAAAATAGTAAGAGAAGATTAACCGGGAGTTGCCAGTTACCTGTCTCTTTTTAGTGAAACAGGGGATATTTGGCTCTACAGAATGTTAACAACATTTAAATATATCCCATGCAATATCTAAGTTTTGCTGAAGGCAGAAAGTTGAGGGAGCTCAGAAAATCATAATGTATGGGCTCAGTATATGTATGGGCATATCCACATTCAATCTTTGTACCTACCAAAATATAGGTGTTGATAGAACATGTGGATATATTGCTGTGTTTATATATAATTAAGTTAGACAGATTTAACATAGGATCTGTCATACTTCACAGTCATACTTCAGTCATACTTCAGTGTGTTGATTAGCCACCAGTTGATGTCACTAGGAAAAAACGTACCTTGCTAATCAACAGTTACTTGCCGTGACCTTTTCTTAAAACTTTCCCTGAAGCCCTTCATAGTAAAAATTATCACAGGCAAGGCTTGGGACTAGCCAAACTAATCGAGCATGGTAATTCCTGTGTTCCCATGAAAAATTACGATTTATATAGGTAAGTCTCTGGAGTTCCCTGTTTCTGTATGTGGTCTTCCTTAACATTCTCATTTGAAGGCACATTCTATACTCATTTTTTAGTTATTTTCTAGTCATCCATGTTCCTTCACATGAGAAAGACTCTACTTGCAGCACATTTCATGTTGTTTTGTCAGTTAATCGCTGAGCTTACAAGAAGTGATACCAGTTTATATCCACTTAGGTAAAGCCCATTTTGTGTTCAGACCAACCAGTGCACAAATTGTTGTGGAGAGACTAGTAGACCAGCCAAGGACATTCTCTTCATGGAGGCCGATTCTGTTTGCTGCAGTACAGGGGAAGGCAGGCTGGAGGACACAGATATGTGACTCCCAGCTCCTCTGGTCATACCCAAGCGTCACGGCACAGCAGCTTAAAGCTGCAGCAGGGGAGCAGAGTCCCACCGTGTTCTCTCCCTCTCCCCAGTCAGCGTGACTCCCCATCTTTCCCAGTATCATGTCCTGAAGGAAAGCAGACTAAATTTGGGTGAGGGTCCTTGGGTGAGGACACCATCTAGCCCAAGCTCACTGCAGTTGAGAGTTTCATCTGGCCAGTTTGCAACTGTAGCCAAGAACACAGGGCTTTGTAGGTATCACCCACGCTCCTGCATTTACAACATCTGTGGAAGATACTCCAAGTATTAGCTGCAGAAATAGTAACTTCAGCACAGGGACACTTGTGCAGCTAACACTTCTGTGTTGGGACTAGGACGATGAACATAATAGGAAATCATGTTGTAATTAGATCCAGTTTTGAACAAAAGACAAATTATTTATTTCTTTCTTCAAATGAAGCATAACACTAAGGTATAAAGGGAGTATAAATAACATCTGATTGTGCTCCTAAGCTCCATGCTATAACTTTCTTGCAATGACATCCTTCAACAAATTAACTACATCATTACTGTTAAGTATTAATTGCACAAAACAGATACACAAAATATATAATGAGCTAGAAAGAGGACAACATTCTTCCATTATGACAAACAACTGTAACAAGAAATGGAAAAAAACCCAATAGATCTAGGCTTACACAGATGGCAACACTGAGAGTTTTAAGTCCTCTCCTTGAACACATTACATGTGATAAATAATATGCAAAATACTTAAAGAATTTTATTGTTGCTTACAGAAGATACTTAGCAAGCAAAGAGACAGTAGCAATCACTGCCTCATGTCTCATATCCCCATCATTCAATGCAAATGTTTACATTTCATGCAATAATCCTGAGCTTATTTTCAGTAACATTGAAATGTCATCTATATTAATTACCAAATACATACAGAGCCCAGCTATGGGGTCTATTGTATTATTAAGGCATGAAAAAAGAATAACAGTTTATTAACTCTGAATGCCACAAATACAGCACAGCAGTTAGAAGGCTCAAAAAAGCTCAGAAAGTACCAGTGATTTCTGTGCCAAGGTCCTCCCAGAACATGACTGTGAATCATCAGCTCCTGAAAAGGTACAGAATCAAATCCTGGCCTTGCTGAAATCAGGGAGTTTTGCCATTGCCTTGACTGCTGGATCAAGCTTCAGAGCTATTGGGAGTGACTCAGACTCCTCTTCATATCCCCAAAAAATTGACAAACTTCCTCTCACTCAAGTCAAGTATGAATTTAAAAAACAATACCTATGTATTGTTTTCTTAATTAGTATTTTAAGTCTATGGAAAGGTTCCATTCATTATATAGTATGGCAAGTAATAAAAAGCTTTTTAAGAAGAAGCTTATTTGTTAGTCTGATTTATTAGTACGTTAAAAGAAGGGGGAAGTATCATGAAAAGAACCTCTGCCAAGTCTATGCTCTATTCATAAATTATTATTAATTTTAAATGAAAGACTTTGGTTAGCCAAACCAAGGATATGTGATGCAATTCTAGTCTCCGTGGTTCAACGGCTCTTCTCAAAGACAAAGAGCACCACAGCCCTGACCGGTCATCAAGTGAAGAACTTACAATCTGCATAAATTCCAAGGGGCTAGTAGTATCTGGACTGTGCAGTTCTTCACATAGGCTCTATTCTACATTTACAGAAGTTCTTGCAAATTGCCCTGTAGTGAGCCAGGGTATTCCAGTTCCGTTAACTAAGCCGTTGAAACCAAGGCCAAATTGGTGGCAAGACTGACTTCATACTTAAAATTGCATTATGTCCCATACTGGGAACTAAAATAGCAGATGATCTCCTCTAACTCTGCTACTACTATTGCCTGCCCCTTAGGTAGATATTTGCCTAGCTGAGCTCAGAGTTTACAGATCCAGTAGCCTTATCCTTCATCTATAGGTGGCCCACGGTCTGCCGTTAAAAGAACCATGGTATGCAAGAGGGACAGACTTTTAGGCAGCCTTGGTGCACTCTCCTTTCCCTGCCTGCACCCCTTGCATGCACAAGCCACCCCTTGACAAAGATGGTGCTGTGCAATTCTGTCACTGCAAGGCTCTGAAAACTTTGCAGATGCACAAATCCAACTTAACTAATTACATCTAAAACACCAAGTTATAATATTGAAAAATTGGTTTGTCACAATAAACCATTCAGGACACTCATTACTGTCTCATTTGAAACAGGAGAAAAAAAGTTGTCAATATTAATTACTGGGTTAGAATTTGCATGGTTTTTGGTTAACTTCTACTAATAAATAAGTTAAAGAAGGCTAAGGCTATAAATTGGTACTGTTTCTTTTATAAATATTCACTTTATTTCTATTCTCTTCTAAAAAAATGTGTTAAGGAAAAAGGTGGCCAGAAGGATTAAACATGTTGTAAATTGTAATTTGGTTGTTAGGCTGTAAAAACCAAACACGTAAGTGAAGTTGAGCACAGTGTAAGAAAAAGCCAGTTTTTAATTAACAACTTATTTACAAGTTCATAAAATCAACTGAACTGGAGTAGATGTTCTGTGTTTGTCACCAATGTTTTATTGTAGCTGGTAACTTGCACGCTTTATAGTAGAACAAAAAGAAAATAAAGTTCACTATATACAGCCTTTGTACAGGCTACTTGACTATACACAAGGCATAGTGATCATAACACAACCTAGTCTTCATAATAATTTGTGCACAAAAAGACACCCATCAGACATTATGTGAACATTACAGTGAAATGACATCACAAGTCCAGTGAAAATTCAGCATAATACAAAACATATTGATCTACTGCAAATGACATCCTTTAAAACAATTAGCCTTTATTCAGTAGTAACTTAACCAGAGTCTGACGCAGAGATTTGTTGTGTAGTTATAAGTCTTTTAAGTGAAGCAACCTCTGCAGATAAGTTTGCTATGCCCTGCTTCAAATACAGGTTCTCTGACTCAGAGACATTGTAGAGATTGTCTTTTATTTCAGCAACTCCAGTTTTGCAACCACTCTGAATTTTTACATTGAGTTCCTTCTGATGCCAGAGTTCTGGTTTAAGTGACCAGTCTTGGATGTTAGTCACTTGAACCGAGAAAGGAGTGTGAGAAGAATGCACCAAGTTTTGTGCACCATGTTTTTCAAGCTCAAAATGTCTTTTTGAGGACATGTCAATGGGTGATGACAATTTCTGTGTTGCATCATAGTCATTATCCATTGCTTCCACTTTAACTTGCATGGCTTTGGCTTTAATTCGAAGCTTGTGAGGCAAAGCTGAAGAATTCACTTCTGGAACTTTAACTGTTGCATGAACATTTTTATGTTCAACTGGGGAATGGATTGGACCCTTAGGAACCTGCTGTTCATCTTCTCCATCAGATGACTTTCCAACTACACCATCATCGGTTTCTGATGTTCTGGGAGAATTACTGGAGGACCTATTAACTTGCAAGAGAGGAGGAGAATGTGAGTACACATTAAAGGTAGTTCCCATGTAGTTTGGATATATGGATGTTTTATATGAACCTCTGTCATCTCTTGGCTCTCTCTCTAATTCCATGGGCTCCTGTTTTATAATCTGGAATTTATTTTCAGGACTTCTGCAGTTGCTTTGTATACGACTTGGTTGAGTATGCTCTACAGATGATATTTCAGACACATCGGACATTGAACTTTGAGGAGAATGTTTAATGACAGAAATGCAACTGCTACCAACTATAGATGGTTCATGTTCATCTACAAATGAGTTAATATTTGATTTGGAACTCTGATAGTCTTGGAAATAAACAGTTGTTGAGCTACTGAGTTTCTGTATCTCTTGAGCATAGGCTGCAGAACTAATTAAACCAAACTTTAGCTTCAATGAAAGCAGCTCTGCCTTCAAAGTGGCATTCTCCTCTCCCAGTGCAATTAGTTTGTTCTCTAAGACAAGGTCATTTAGTCGTCGTTTTTCACGAGATCTTTTGGCAGCTTCATTATTTTTCCGCCTTTTCTCCCAATACATAGCATCTTTCTTTTCATCTGGAATGAATTCTCGCTTTCTCCGGCAAGCTGAAGATTTGCTTTTTCCACTACTTGCTTCAGTAAGTAGTATATCTTCACTTGTAGACAATTCTTCAGACACTTCTGCTAAAGTAGACTTAAGTACCATGATTTTGTCCACATTGCTACTTGTGTCAACAGGTCCGTGTTCCTTTTTAAGGGTCTGCATTTTTCTCAGCTGCATCAGAAACACTTTGTAGATCTACAATGAGCAACAGAGCAAGCTATTTCCCCAGTACTACTCACTCCACAACTTGTTAAATACAGTAACTTTAAATCCACACACATTCTTCCTTTTCTTTCATATTCTCAGACAGAAGTGTCTAGAATCAATTTTCTTGGCAGAGGCGATGGGAATTTTCTTAAAAACCTGGAATAAATAGAGAATTTGATTACCACTTAGGAATTGCTGGTTCAGGACATGCAAAAGTAGCTTTTGATAAAAAGTTTAGTCTAGCATTTGTTTCATTAAACCTGCTGTAATATGAAGACAGCTCAACACTGAAACAACAGATATTATAAGCTTTATGATACCTAGGTAGCAGATTTGCTTCCAAAACAAATACAATATGATCCAAGTTAAAAAAAAAAATATTTGAGTTTTGATCCTACAGTAATGTTGTTCACAGAACTTTCCATGATATCACTGACCAACCTAAACCTCCAACACTCAACACTGCAGGACACCAGGCATGTTGATGAGCAGCACTGGAAAGTATCTTGTTCTTCCACATTAAAGGATCTCTTCTGAAAACAGCTGTGGTGTATGACTTAGAAATGATGTATATTTGGGTCCTTCGTGGATTAAAAATAACACAAGCTGATTTAGAGAAGTTGGAATGCTTTCTATTGTCTTAAAATAACACCACTATCTAGTAAAGCTACTAAAGATTTAATTATTGTTTTTGCATCCTACATAAAAATATATACATACATATATGTACACACAGAAATGTTTATGCACACACACACTTGGAATTTTAAAATGCCTTTTTGATCAATCATATCCATTCAAACTAATAAACACATACACATAATTTGGGCAAATACCTATTAAAAATTTATTGACAAGAAAAAATATTACATAATTTTTTCCTCGTCTTTCAAAGAAAACTTTAAAATCAGTATTGAAAAATATATTAGAGAAATAACATTTAATTAACAATTTGCATTTCAAAAATAGTCTTATTGACATAAAGTTTAATACCATTGAGGCATGTGCCCCTTTAAAAAAGTGTTTGCATTAAACTGGAAGTTTAGATCTAAAAGCCTTACCTCTAGCTTCAGACATTTTAATCATTAAATTTGAACTTTGCTTTTAAATTGGCCTTTGTTTTATTTAATCCCTCTTAATGTAAAAATACTTTATTCTCATAAAATCATTTGGTCTTGATCTGACATACATCTTCTCAATATCTCATTTTCCACAGTCAGACATGTTCCTGGTAAAATAAATGTAATGTGTCAAGTGCTTTTATAGAACTGACTATTGAGTCACAAATTATTCCTGCCTGTATAACACACACACACACACACAAAAAAATTCTGCTACTTCAGATTAAAATCACTATTTATTGGGAATGTTTTTACAATGACTAATGAAACTCATTTTAACATTATCAGTTGGGAGAGTTATAAAATAATTAATGAATTGTATTCTGCCAATTTCTCTTGTCTTTTCCAGAAGGCAAAGAGGAGTGAGTGATGTAATAACAATTAAGCAGGGTCATAAAGACTCAGGTTTCAAGCTGGGTTCTGTTCCATCAAGCCATGCCAACTCTTCTGTCATGAAAAATTAACACATTTAATAGAACAGCTAAGTAGAATTTCCTAAAATCCATGGTTAATTACTGACATGTAACTATTTGTCTTCGATAATACAGGCTTAATGGAAAATAGAGTTAGAAGCCAGCCACACCAAACACAGCATCTAACATTTTAGTGCAAAAGCAGCACCACAAATTGCCATGTTTGTAAAGGAGAACTGTATCTCTAACACACAAGCAATTACATAGTTAGATCCTGATCCAAAATTCAAACTGGAATCAAAGGGAATTCTCTGTCAAGTTAAATAGGAGCTGGATCAGGTTTAAAAACAAAAATAAGCCCCACAACAAAGCAACACCTGTTTGTCCAAACATTCAGTATAATTTCATTTGCTGAAGAAGCTGTATAGCCATTCTGTCCATTTCACTGCTACATGTAATCAGTGGTTTAATTAATATGCATGCCATTTAAAATGTAGTGCAACCCAATACTTTAAAACAAAAAATCATTGTTAAACACAAAAAAATTTAAAATAAATAAATAATCAAACAAAAAAAAAACACAAGACAAGGCCACCTGAATGTCTGTGGCATTTGTAGAATATTCAGTCTCTGTAACATGACTTCACATTAAAAGAAGAAAAATACTGGGATTTCATTTCATTATCCCGTAGCACTGGTAGTGCACAGCTATTGATCCATAATTGTCTTGATATACTACAATCACTGGGTACATCTGTATCATTAACAACTTCTACATTTCTGACAAAATGCACACACCTTCTACGGCACACATCAGAAAGCAGTGTAACATGTACTGAATACGTATGAAATCATCACTTTTATCTGTAACAGCATGCATCTCAGCCAACTCTCACAGAAGTCAAAAAAGGGTTCAGAGCAACTTTTGCGAAATTTCAGGGCCTTACCAATACAAAGGTCTTGCTGAATTTAACAATACTAGAGAGCTACACCCAAACTCAAATAAAAATATTTATTCTCTTAGAAAGGGTATACTAAAATGCATACATCATTATTTTCTATATATTTATCTGCCACATACCCAGGAACATCTACACTTACTTGAAACAGTAGCAACAGCAATGAAGTACTTACAAACACAGGATTTGTGCATATTTTAGAAGAATTAAACTATACCTACACAAGTTTACTCTGACATTTTTTTCCTCTTATACTCCAATCTTCCATTTCCACACGATATCAAAGCAATATATTTAGTCTCAAACCAGACTGTTTCAGGATAAGAACTATGACTTTTTGTGTACCTGTATGGGCTCCAGTTCAAAGTGATCTTTGGCATTTGGTACTTCGGTATTTGTCCAACACTATGATCTAGGAAAAATACTATTAATTATAATAGTAATAATAGCAATACTATTAATAAGCAAAAAGTGATTGGTTTGGGGTTTTTTTCCTAAGTGAATGTAGACTAATGGCATAGTTCATCAGTATGACCGTCTATGTATCAGTAAAAAATCAACTGCATGCCCAAGCATCATTTCCTGCAGCCTAACACTGGCACTGAGCTACATTTAACAACTCAACAACCTGCAGAGTTCATGTCCCTTATGCCATGGGACTTCTGTAGTTTGGGCCATTCCAGTGTACAATCTGCTCACTGAGGCACTGGCAACTCCTGTTTTGGCCAGTCTCCCTCCTGTACACATTGTTCCTGGCACAAATAGAGTGTAAGTAGCATGCAAGTCTACAGAAGATATTAAGTGTGAACCAAAATGACGATGTTTTGGGATCCAGTATTCAACTCTATTCTCTGCCAGAGTCCATCAGCAAAGCTGTCAAGACAGATGTGTAACCCCTGACACAGTCTTACTGGTTTACTACTTATGTAGTTAGTTCTAATATTGTTACTTTAGTGAACTAACAAAACAACAATAAATGTTTAGTTCTTTCCACATCTTCCTTCAGCACTTTCATCACCGTAACCAGAGTTGCTGCTTTACAAACAGGAGTCAAAGCACTTGTTTATTAATACTTCTCCATGTGGATCAGCACAATGCTGAGTCTGTAAACAAATTAAATTCCATCTGATGATAATGGCAAAATGCCTTCAATGAAACCAGATATTTCACTTCACTTGCATTTTACAATTCCACTGGAAAACATCAGTATTTACACATAAATTAATGAACTGTAATGATTCCTTTGACTATATTTCAAATTCCAGTTTTTTCCCTTATGATTAATTTTTCAATTGCTTTATCACTCCCTCATAAAGTGTTATAAACCCAACATTTAATACTGTCTTACATTAGTCACCGTTAAAGATTTTTTTTTTTTGGTTGGTTGATGTTAATGGCATTGAGTGCCAATTCAACAATGTAATAACACTCAACCCTATTAACTTAATTACAGACCTAGTCTTGCTCCCACAGCAATTTTGCCATTGGCTTCAACAGAAGCAGGATACAATCCCAGATCCAAGTATTAATGAGACTGTTGTATAGAACTCATGCTATTGAAGCAAGAAATTATGTATGCAGAAATCATGAAAAGTTAATTTATCCATGGACTTCAAAACATACTTAAGTAATCTGTGTCAAAATGGTACATTTACGGATCTGATCCTGGGGATTTGTGCATTCACACTGTAATAACTGAAATGTTTCAAAAGGTTGAAGGACAGGGCCACAATCTTTCGTCTCTCTTCTGTGTAATTTAATTACATATGTCATATCTGAATTCACGTGGGCCTCATCATGTACATATGCTTCCCCACAGAGTAACTGCATATTATTTGTATTTAGCAAAATAATTCATGCTATCTCCAAGTATAACTTTTCAAACATATCCTAGAATGAGATAAATAATTGTTTAGCTCTATTGCTCTAATATTTTTATAGTAATTCTATGAAACTAAGTGAAATCCCATTTCTAGCAGTTGGATGCTCAGACACAATTCACTTTGTACCACTATGCATACAAAAAATTTCTCTCTCAGTCCTTTAAAAAGGGAAGAAAATAATGACTAGGTACAACTTCCTGTTTTAATAAAGAAACACCTCTATCACCATCAACACTATATGGCAAACTGCAGAAAAACAATAAAAGCTCATAACATATTTCTGTGCATATTTTTATTTGTTGTCCATATTTTACATAGGTGTTATTAACAATATTACTGCTACCATTCTGTCACAGGTTATCTATTTTTAAAATCTGTCTACATACCAGAAGAGCTGGCGTAGAACCTGCTCAGATACCAAAATGACCAGTTGGAATTTCAAACTTTGCAAAACTTCAGAAAACAGTTTGCACTTTATCTTCAAAGTGTTTTAAAAACAGTTGCTACCCACCTCAAGACTTTTATGAGGTACAGAAAAATATCATCCTCATTACACATGCAGGACATGAGGCTGAGTTTAAGCTTAAACATAGACTGCTTAAACACTGAAGAAATACTTTGGAGCCACTCTACCTCTACTGCTTTTCACAGACAAAAATTATGCCATGGAATTCTGCATCTTTTAAGTCTATCATAATTCATAAATCCTCTCCAACAGAGGATGTGGCCGCATTCCAACCTCCACCAAAATCCTTCAAGATACTTTTTCTTGCCTTTTATCTAGCACTGTTAGTAAAACTATGTTCCTGTTTCAGAAAAGCTTTAATGCTGGCTCCACTGGAAGAGTGATATTATCCCTAGGATAAATTTGCAGGCAAGAGAGTCTAGGCAATGTAGAGCAAATGAAGTTCAAACTTTCAGAAGAAAACCTAGGTAACTGCATTTTATGCTATGTTGGACAGGTTATCCACAGTCAAAAAGGGGAAAGGTATTTACAATACAAGTGTTACCACCGATTACTGACATTATATAGTTGCACCCATAGGGACCATGAATCCATTACAACAGCATGGAGTAGTGCAGAACTATTGATCCTGTACACAGTTCCCTTTTCTTTCAACTTCAGGGGCATCTTGAGTGCTTACGGTTTCAGGATCAACGTGTAATTAGGTCAGTGGAACACTGATGTTGATAGCTTTGTACAAGATGACCCATTTTTGCTACAATGTTGATCATCTTAGTGAAAGAAAAAAAAATGGAAGATGCCCACACAATATAGTTCATTGGGAACATTAAAAAAAATCATTTATTAGGGCACTTTTCAATCAAATATAAAAAAATTAATAAGATTGTCATGGAATTTAGAACACTACTACAGCTTCATATTACCCACCTCCAAGCTGTACCCAGAAAGTTGATGTCATATGTAATTTTTACAAAAGGCTTTCATTGTTAGGAAAATTACTTAAGTTACTGTTTATCTTAATAACTACAAATTAACTCATTAAAGTACAGCCTGTTTCCCAAAGGTAAATTACACAAATTATGCAAATAAAATTATTATTTGGAGAGCACAAAATACTATGTTGAAGGTGACTGTTGCTCAAAAAAGGTCAGTCAAGGTTAATAGGTTCAAATTTGACCTATATTTTCTTCCATTTACTTAGGAAGACGGTATGATTCTATCAGATCTGTTCAGATTTTTCCCAAACAAGCTGTTTACTGCTCTGATTTAAGAAGGGGGGAGAACAAAATCTAAAGAATGTTACTCAAAGTGCCAGGAAAAGCTTTAAAACTGAGAAGCAAAGGAAATGCATATATAACTTGTGTAAATTTTTAATTACATATATATAATACACATAGTATGTGTATATAAATCATGCAACTTTAAATATCACATCAATATCCAGTATTTTTAATAAAACCCCAATAGAAACAATGGTTACTGAAGTTACAGTACTACGACAGTATGCTGCTCCTCATTTCAGTAGCTACTTGACAGAAGGAAAAACCAGACTGCAAAAAGCTGTAACGCTACAACTTAATAGTAATAGTGTTCTGGAAATACAATCTCAGCTTTCCCTTAGTTAAGAACCATTTAAAAAAAAAAGCCAAAGTCAAATATTAATTATTCTGACAACAAATTACTATCTATTATTGAACTGTGTTCTTAAAATGCCAAGCAGGCACCAGACCCTCAGCTGACCTAAATTTATACAGCACTATTTAAAGGCAGCAGAATTATGTCAATTAATCCCAGCTGATGCTCTAAACATGCATCTTGTTATATAACAACTGAAGTACAAATATGTAAAACACACACAGCCTGTAAAATGTTGGCATCTAACACTTACTGCAAACAGCACTGAGAAACAGAAATCCCTGGAGTTCCTGATTCTATGAGATGGTCCAGGCAGGAAAACCACTGCCCATGCTGAGCAACATCTTCTTTCTTGGGTTGTGTTCCACTCATATGGGGAGGTCTCACAGGACTGGCACCTATACTGTTAACTGCTGTACAGTCACCTCTGTGGCAAAAACTGGTAAATTACTGAAATACTTCAAGATGGGTTGAAAATTACACCAGGACGGAGCAACCTAAGGTAAAGGAAAAACCTCTATCCTAAATAAGGCATTTTTTCAGATAGATTTGTGTAATATCTGTCACCAGGTTCAGTCTCATATTATGTTAACTTGGACATGGATCGATCCAACACATGAATTAGGAAAAAAAAAAAACAGGATACCTAAGGTAGTCTTAATAATAATTAATTTCAGATATACCTTTTAATAGAAGTTTTTAAGAATGATTTAGGGTCAAATCAAAGTATGCCCTTGCTTATACAATGTTATTTTTGACAGTCATGCTTAGCATCAGTATTAGACAGTTACATATACTTTGTTTTTAAAATTATTTTCAAACACTGTAAAATACTGTAACCTGGAAATCAACTGTCAAATTCTTTTAGAACAGACTGCAGGAATTGGCTATCTATTTGCATTTTTTTTCTATTACATATCCTAAGCACATTTATATCTCATAACTGGCTGTAATGATCATGGCAAGGTCACCTAGAAGAGTCAATTAAGCTGATGAGTCAGATACATTGCTTAACAGTGTGTAATAAGACTCACACAGAGGATTTTATTGTTCATATTATTGCATCATAGTGATGTTATAACAGCAGCACGATTACTGTCTGGAAAAAACTATTGCATAAGGATAGTTTGCATAACTATTTGTTAAAATAAGTCAATTTAAAATGAGCTAAAGGTTTATTTTATTTATGAGCTTTATTTCAAGATAAAGGATTGAAAAAAGCAGCATGGTACTGGTATCTTCTACAGACTTTATTTAGATTATTGCAATAGAAAGAATATCTGTGTGTTCTACAAATTTCAGCCAAAGCATGGCAAATTCTGTTCCTTCTTAGGATGAGATAAGCTGCTAGGAGGTCAGGAAAGTTCATATTGCTCATGGGAAGACTAAGCTTTTTGACACCTTTCAGATCAGTTCCTTTCTAAAAAAACAAAACAACAACAACAACAAAAAAAAAATCCCCAACCAAATAAAAAAACAACCAAACAAAAAACCCCAAACAAACCAAACCAAAAAAAAAAAAAAAAAAACACCCAAAACCCACAGCAGAAACTTAAGGCTTTGAAGTCAAATTCAAGAAGCTGGGTATTTCAAAAGCTAGTTAAGAGTCCTTTGGAGAATGAGTTAAAAATATAAATAAAAATGGAAAGTAGAGGCAGATCATTCTAAAGAGTGTTAGTACTTCAACAGTAAAAGACATCTGGAACATGAGAACTTTTATAGCAATAACTGTGTCAATGATATTAAGGATCTTTATTCAGTAATCCTTGAACTTGTTGGTTTAAATCAGGCCTTTGGGCCAAAACCTGAACCCTTATTCATTCAAGTTTCCCATCAAAGTCAACATTTTGATTGAATAAAGCCCGTAAAAGTGATGCACATAGCAATATTTTAAACAAGGTTCTGGACTGAATTAATTACTGAAGAGGGCAAAGATGACTCAAAGTAGGTTACATACACAGGAGCAAACACAATGAAACTGAGTGCAATCATTCAAGTTACAAGGACAAGAAAAGAAAAAAAAAAAAGGTTGTTTTTAACGACAGTAACTCCAATACAGCTTCACGATCAAAGCTGTACCTGACCCCAAAAAGCAAGTAGCAGAACAATTATTTATGCAAGAATGCCATGTTTTTTAAATATTTTGCTGCTACTACCTACAGCAGGTATAACAAACATAAAGACAGTGGCTGGGGTACTCAGTTTGGAGTTTAGATGTTTTGGTGACAGGCACCGTGATGTTGGTTTTGTCTACTTAGAGGACTGTTTTAGCCGTACACACACACACACACACACACACACACACACAAAATCGCCGCATCTTGAAAGCCAAGTTATCACCACCAACTTTCATGCTATGTTCCCGTCGCCGACAGAGCACAAGCTGACCCCGGAGTACAGGACGTCCAGCCACGGCTTTTGCCACTGCAACACCGAAGTGACTTGGCAAAATAACAGAATTGGGCAATGGCCTTTTTTTTTTTTTTTCTTGTTGTTGTTGTCGCCGATGTTGTTGTTATTGCTCGTTATGTAAGGCGAAAGACGAAAATACGCGGGTCGCGAGAGCGGCGGGCGTGCTAGGCTATCTCATGCCTACCTGCAAGCCGTACCCCTGCCGGGGGAGGGGGGCTTTGTCTGGCGGTCGGCAGGCGACAGTGGGACAAGGGGGGTGGGGACGCCCCGCACCGCGCCCGCCACAAAGGCGGCCCGACCCGGCCCGGCGGATCCCCCTACGTGACCGGCGGCGCATGGCGCCCGGCCCGCTCCCCCCTCAGCACGGCCCCGCGCTATCAGCCCGCCGCGCCCCCCCCCCCTTCCCCGCTCCAACCCGCCCGCCGCCGCCGCCCCAGCCCAGAACAAAGGGCTGAGGGGGAGCGCCAGCGCCCCCAGCCCTCGCGCGGCCGCCGCCGCCGCGCCCCAACGGCCACCAACGGCTCCCAACGGCCGCCGGGGGAGACGGCGACCCCCTCGCGCATTATAAGCCTGAGGGCGCGGGGGAAAAAGATGGACGCGGGTTCGGGCTCCGCGTACCGGCTCCGCTCCCCGCCCGCGCCTGTCACACTGACCTACTTGCGGTGCCGGCTGCTGCCCCCGGGACATGGCTCCGCTGCCCCCGGGGCCGATGGCACCTGGCCCCCCGCCCGCCGCGGCCGTCAAGGCACGGGCGGGACGACTCTCGGCTCTTCCTCTCTCCTCCGGCGCGGCTGACATCTCCTAAATGCCTTCCTCCCTTAAATTAGATGTTCTTTCCTTTTTTTTTTTTTTTTTTTTTTTTTCTAATCCCCCTTCCTTTTTTAAAGAAACGGCAAGTGAAAGCCCGTACCGGAGAGATGGCTCAGCGTCTGGGCGAAATGCCTTCCTAAAAATACAGCCTTATCAAAACGTCTCTGAAGGCGTGGAGTTTAAAATCCGAGCAAATGGCCTCGAACGTCTACACGCACAGCTCTGGAGAAAAGACCAGAAATAGCACATGAAGCCACAATTGCTAAAATGCGATGGGGCTAAATATAGACCAACACAAATCTCGTTTTAAGGCTGCCGGCACGCAGCCGGCGAGCGCGCCTTGCCTCCCCACTTACCCAGTTGTCTACTTCCCTTACTAAACGCACTTCAGCAAAATCTGTTACAGCTACGGGTTTTGGGAGGGCTTTTTTCAGGTCGAGATTGCCCTAGCTTCTTTGTAGCGAGATTATAAAATGGCATAATTAGCTCCCTCTTCCCAGCCCGGCTGCCAGCAAATTCTGTGGTTACATAATGCAAAATTTCCAGGAACTATTATGCGATCGGTCCCGCAGCCCCTGAAAAACAGCGACAAAAGTGACGAAGCGGGCTGAGGCGAGCGCAGCCCCGCGCGGCGCGGGGACATGGGCCGGGCCGCTGCCATTAATCCCGCTTGCCCGCGGGCAACGTCCCCCCCGCGCCGCCCGGAAAGCGGGGTGGGGGTGCGTGGGGGTGGATCTGGCCGGCAGGCTCTGGCGGCGCGCAACGCCCGGTGGTTTCGGTGTCGAGGCACGGCCGGCTGCCGGGACGCGGCTCTCCGCCCCTCGCGGCCGCAGCGGCCGGCTCCCCGCCGGCACATTATGCAACGCGGGACAGCAGCTCTGTCGGCGATGCCCCGGGCTGGCTGCGGGGAGAAGCGGAGGGCGGGGGCGGGGGGGGGGGGGAAGCGCGGTACGCCGAGAACGAGCACCCCCCCCCGGCGAGGGAAAAAGCCTTCGGCGGGCAGCCCTCCGGCTGCCGCCACCCCTCCGCCGAGCCGCCCGCCGGCGCGCTGAGCCGGCCCGCCTGGCGGACCCCTCCCCGCCCGGCAGCAGCCGGAGCCGGCTGGGATCGCGTTATGTAACCGCCGCCCCCAGCCGCGGCGAGGCGGGCGCCGCAGCCCGGGCAGGCGCCCCAACTTTATATCCGCGCGTCGCTCCGCGCCTTCCTACCTGCAGCGCGTCGCGGGGCGCCCAGCATCCCCCGCCCCGCGCCGGGCCGCGGGCGAGGCGAGGCGAGGCAGGCGGTGGTGCGATGCCGTGCCGTGCCGTGCCGGCAGCAGCGGAGCGGCCGGGCGGGAGCGTGCGGCGACGGCGGCGGCGCGGAGGGATGTGTGTTAGTAGGTCAGGGCTGCGCGGCGCGGGGCTCATAGCCCGCATGCCAGCCGCGCCGCGCCGTGACGGGCGGCGACACCGCCCCAATCGGCGCCGGGCGCTGCCGGAGTGCAGCCAATGGGAACGGCCGGGGGCGGGGAGGGGCGGGGCGCGGGGCGGTGTGTGGTACAGTAGGTCTGTGTGCTGGCGATTGCATAACTGCCGGCGGGGCGGGGGGCGGCGCGGCGGGGGGGTGGGGGTGGGGTGGGATGGGAGCGGCGCGGGGGGCGCCGGCACTTACGTAACCGCGGCGGCGCCCCGCGGCAGCGCGTGGGGGGGCGCTCGCCCCGCGCAACCTCCGCAGGGGTGCAGAGCCTCGGCACCGCGCTCCCCCCACCCGCACCGGCAGCGGCAGCGGCACCGGCAGCGGGGCCCTCGCAGCTTTGCCGCCGCCGCCGCGGTGCGTTGGCGTCATCGGACCGTGGCTGTATGGCGTGCGCAAACCAAACCCTCGGCCCCGGCTGGAGCGTTCTCGCCTCGGAGCGATTGCCCGAGGGCCGGGAGCCGCGCTCCCGCGGCACGTACCTGCCACCCAGCCACGCACACGGGTGACCCGCCGTTGGATCGCGCTTTGGCTCGGGCTCGCGGGAGGCAGTGATAATAATCGTAGAAGGGAGGACACAAATAAAAAAGGGGGGGGGGAGGCAGCCCGCTGACGGCGGCCGGGCACTTCGCGCCGCGGGCGGGGAGGCTCGTCCTGCGCGGCGCGGGCGTCGCTTGCCCTGGCTGGTCGTCAAGGGCGAGGGGTTCGAGCTGTGCTACTGCCGCCGACCGCGGCTCTGCCCGCGTTCCCGGGGCGGCAGCGCTGAAACGCTGCGGGGCAGCGGGGGCTCGGGTCGGGGGAGCTCGCCCACGCCGGCCCTCGCCCCCGCGGGGCCATCGCCTCCGGCGCGGAGGCCGCTGCCCGCAGTCCCACCTCTCCGCACCTTCCAGCCCTGCTTCTCAACGCAGAGAATCACAAAGCGGAGATTCAGCAAGAGAGCCTGGTGCTGCTCTGACCCTTGTTTAACCTCCAATATAGAAGATGACACACGGCCAGCAAGAAATCCAATTCCCATCTGAGTGTGTTTGCGTGTACGCATTTTGGATTAAGTGTGCGATATGTACATTCCTCGTTTTCTTCCTCGTAGAAGGTTTGTGACTCCCTGTATTTTTTCCCTCACAAGTAGAATTTATGGAGACAACAGAAAATTTTCTTTATTAAATCCTAGTTCCAGAGCGTAAATGATTCCCGATTTAATTCTGTTAAACACTCTTACCAAAATAGCACAGTCCGCACTAACGTAGCCCGGGTATATTACTCTGTCATCTTGTATTTATATGTCAACAGAGACAGCCCTCTTGAGCAGAGTAGAACTAACAGGAAGCAAATTCAGGCACCAGAAGAGTTCACTAAATAACATTTGGTTTGTCTCAGCCCTTGATCCTTTATCACATGTACCATACCATCCCTCCAGTAAATCCAAGTGCCTCTAATTCATTTGTATATATCTCCCCGGATTGTTTATTATGCAAGTCTAATAACCTTTACTCACATTGATTTTCCCCTCTTCCCTCCCTATTTCTAGTATCTGGGATACGGAGCCTTGTTAATGGTAACAGACTACTGAGCCCACCGTGACTAGGAAGGGGACTCAAAAGCAACCTGAGTCCAAGTGATAGATCGTTGCCTCTATCTGGGAGCTGCATCGTGAATGATTTGGGTTTTTTTGCCATACTTCTGCTCGCCAGTGGATGCACATACATACAAAGACAGTCAGCACTCTACTGGAAATGTCAGGCATGAGCTCTTGGTATGAGCTTCAAGACCTGCTTGCTTGTAAATATCAGGGGTCTACTTAAGATCTTAGGCACACCGGAGAACCTCTGTGAGAAAACTTGTGCAGCACACATTATGTCCCCTACTATGCTGTTGTGATTTAAACTCAGCCAGCAACCAAACACCGGGCAACCGCTTGCTCCGCCACCCTCCACTGGGGAATGGGAGAGAGAGTTGAGGGGTAAGGAGGCTCATAAGTTGAGATAAAAACAATTCAATAATTGAAATAAAACTAGCAACGATAACAGTAATAATAGAAAATACAGATGAGTAATGCACAGTGTGATTGCTCACCACCCGCTGACCGATGCCCAGCCTGTTCCTGGCTAGTGATCCCAGAGATAAGAGAAGCCTGAAACTACAGTCCCTGAAGCAAGAGAGAGCTTCCTGACCAACCCTCATCTATATATTGAGCCTGATATTAGATGATATGGAATATTCCACTGGTCAGTTAGGATCCAGTGCTCTGGCTCTGCTCCCCCACAAGATTCTTGTGTGTGTACCCACGCACAGGTAGGACATGGGGAGTTGTAAAGTCCTTGATTTCTTAGCAACAACTGAACACATCAGTACATTACGAACGTTCTTCTCATATCAAATCCCATACTGAATCCAAAACACAGCACTATTCTAGCTACAAAGAAGAGGGGAAAAAAATAGGCTCTGTCCCAGCTGAAATCAGGACATATGCATATCATACCAATGCACAAAGAATCCCCAGGATTGTCAAAAACTAAAGTAAATCCCCAAACTTCTGCCAGTTTTTGAAATGAAAAGGTACATGCCATTTTCACCATGGAAAATATCTGTGATGAATCCTGGGCATATACTTTTAACAACTTTAAATCCCATATCTGTAAAAAATAAATGCAATAACTCAAAACTGCCTTCATAACTTAGATTCTTGAAATATAGAAAGAAGTCTCCAAGGCAATAATATCCTTCCGACGTGGGTGGACAGTCCTGGAAATAATATTCCAGATGGAGTTTGGTCGTCTATTTGCTTATATGTTTGTCACTAATTATAATCAGCCATAAAAATCAGACCTGATCTTTCTCCCAGATTCATAACAAAGATAATTTCTGTATTTCACATTACTTCTACTCTGTGGAGGTCAGGAGATTGGAAACCTTCTACAGCAAAATCTGTTCTTACTCTCCAAATCTTCCCATGGGTGCTTGGCAAATCCAAGGATAAGGCGAGATAGGGAGCTGAATGTGATGTGGCTGAAAGAACATATTCACCATTTTCCCCCCTCGCTTGAGGTAGAGAAAAAAATAGCATGGATGAAAGCCATATCAAGCATTCTGCACAAAGGGAGTCTAGGAAAACTCTAAAAAGAAAATCTTTCTATGATTATCCACCTCTGCTGATTTCCCTACTGGAGGGATGAAGTAGGTCATGAAGATCTTTAGCTAAATTCTCAGCTGACTCTAGCATTGTAGGTTTTATACTTGCTTTTGGATGGCACAACATTAACTTCAACTCCTTTAGATTCATTGGTGTTTATTACTACATGACTTAAACTTTCTTAACGCAACCTCTGGTTTTGGCTTAATGAGTATTGCTGAGCCTATACTGAGTCACAGTACTACATGGAGCATCTAGAAAAAGGAGCATCTGAGAAGTGATTAACAAAAATATAACAGAAAGTAATGTCTGTCGTGTCTACATTGATTGACTCCTTTGCGTTCTCTTGTGTTCATGCCTCTTGAGCTTTCTGTAATATAAGCTTTGAATATGACCCAGCCTGAAATTCAGAATCAGTTGAAGTCGACAGTAAAAGTCCAAGTGCCTCCAAGGAAAGGCTTTGATACCTCACCTTTGCTATAGTCTATATCAAGTGCAACATAATAATTGAAATAGCATCTAGTTTGAAGCAAAATAAGAATAAAATACTTTTTAAGATTATGAACTATTAAACATATTTTAATTATTTTTATGTATGTTAAACACACACACACACACACACACCCACACACCCACACTGAATTAACTAAAGAGATGGTGACTTCTGCTATAATCCTTGGTTTCCTTGCATTATATCCTTTATATCTGTAAGAAGTTTATTACATAGCAAGGCAATCACAGAAAACTATATTCACCAATCTTTTTATATATTTAATGTGATCAGTGCTCAAAAATATTTAATACTAACCAAGTTCTCCAGGGCTTCCTGCTCAAGATGAGTAGTAGTGAAAGTTTCATAAAATAGATGATATTGTGATTTTATAAAGATCAAAGCCAGAAATAAAATACATTAAAGAAAAAGGCAAGTCATTGGACTACAGTTCAAAGTATTAATCAAAATATTTCCATGCGCCTGGGAACATTTGTGGAAACTGTACTGGAAAAATATTTATGCTGTAATGTACTCTTGCTAAAAGCAAACCCAAGAGAAATAGATGCTCACATTGTAACTTAGGCAGACATAAGTGAGGCAATGTTTACTGAAGCTGTTAAATGTGAAGAAACACCAAAAATTGCACAATAAGTGCATGGACTAAATAAAGAAAATTTACATGATACTTTTGCACTGCAACAGCCGATTTAAGATTGATGGGTCATTCATAGCCTTCACATGACAGGAAAGTACAGAAACAAACTCGATCACTATGAACAGCTTTCATATTCTCAGGCAGAGCTACAATGTAAAACACAAAAGAAGGTTATGATGTTCAAATATTTTAGATGAATCTAAAAGCAAACAAAAAATGTCCTGTTTCTTAGGACACGGATAGCAATTCTGCCCGCAGAGCCACTAGCACATTACTGTAGTTATATTCAGAGACAGTCTAGAGAACAGCAATATCTTCAGGACTGAAGGAAGTATCTGATTTCATCTGAATATTTTAAACACAGAGAGAAGTATTTTCAGAAAGGTTCTTTTAATTAATGAACACATATGCCGCTAATGCATATAACACTGCCATTACTGAAACTCTGAGGTAGTGCTG